TGCATGTCATCCTTGCGAAGGGGCCATGCTAATCTTCTCTGTATTGTTGCAACTTTAGCATATGTGCTGCCGAAGTGAGCACCTTTGTATCTATTATTTTGCACAATTCCTTGCATAGGGAAGTTTCAACAAAGCCTTTCTCTAAAACACAAAAGTATATTGCTTGATTGGCATCTGTTAGCACCAGTGGTACAGGTATCATTTCTGTTAATTATAGCACAGTAATCTCTACCTAAGAGGACTGTGATGTCAAAACTCTGGTTTATTGCGGAGAATAAATAACAGGCAAAATTAAGCTAGGTGGAAGTAAACAAGATATTAGCAGTTGGTATCAACTGTGCTACTGGCAATGACAAAAAAAGCCAGTGTTGTATAATTATTGCTTTGTTGCATCCTTTACTTAACAACAAATGGAGGCAGGAGCCTCGTCTTTTCTATTTGATGACTTAGAATACCCCGTGCACTAATGGAACATCAACAATAATGAAACGTGGGAGCTCCTGCTTGGCCCAGTCCATATAGCATGGGACTCTTGATCTTGGGGTTGTGAGTTCAAGCCCCACATTGGGTGTAGAGATGACTTAAAACAAAATAATGAAACATGATTAGAAGCTGACCTGGGGTCTCCCACCCTGAGAATATTTTCCTGAAAAAAAAAAAAATCACTGCTTTCTAGCAAAGCTAACAATCCTTTTTTTTAATAAAGATTTTATTTGAGAGGGAGAGAGCACAAGCAGGGGAAGCAGCTGGGGGAGAGGGAGAAGCAGACTCTCCCGCTGAGCGGGGAGCCCGACGTGAGGCTCGATCCCAGGACCCTGAGATCATGACCTGGGCCGAAGGCAGCCGCCCAACTGACTGAGCCACCCAGGCGCCTCAAAGCTAAAAATCCTTAACAAGGAAAGCCTGTACCACAGAGTAAAATCCCCCAGAGCCTACAGGGTGATTAATTTCTTTTCTATTCAAATCTAAAGCATAAGCAATATTCACTTGGATCACAGGATTTACACAGTACTTAACTTTTTGCTCTTTTATTTATTACTTTTTTAAAGTTTATTTATTTATTTAAGCAATCTCTACACCCAATGTGGAGCTTGAACTTACAACCTCGAGATCAAGAGTCCCATGATGCTCTTCTGATTGAGCCAGCCCAATTTTTTACTCTTTTAAAAGACTGGAGATGTGGGGCGCCTGGGTGGCTCAGTTGGTTAAGCAACTGCCTTCGGCTCAGGTCATGATCCTGGAGTTCCGGGATTGAGTCCCCCATCGGGCTCCCTGCTCAGCGGGGAGTCTGCTCCTCCCTCTGACCCTCCCCCCTCTCATGCTCTCTCTCTCTATCTCATTCTCTCTCTCAAATAAATAAATAAAATCTTAAAAAAAAATAAAAGACTGGAGATGTAAACTAAAAAAACAAAAACCTTCTCAAATCTTACATAGTTTCCCCAGGAACCCTTGAGAACCATTTCTCTCTCCTTTTCAAGGTGATATTTTACGAATGAAAAGCAGACATCTAGAACGGGGGTCAACGATCTGCAGCCTGTGGGTCAAATCCAGACTGCCACCTATTTTTGTCAATAAAGTTTTATTGGCACACAACCATACTCGTTTGTCTGCATTTCATCTGTGGCTGCTTTCCTGTAAAGGGCAGGGCTACACGCATGTGACAGAGACCACATGTCCCCCAGACCGAAAATACTTATTATCTGGCCTTTCACAGAAAAAGTTTGCTCATCCCTGATCTAGCGTTCATTTCCGTCATGGACAACGGTCCACCATTTGCAATGTCGTCGCTCCATTTACCAAACCTCTCACATCTTGAAATAGAGGCCCCGTTTTTTGTTTTTGTTTTTTTTCCCCAAACCGTTTCTAGGTTTTCCTAGAATTTTTCAGGTCTCCGAGGCCTTGATTTTATTTAAGTTCCTGAGGTGCCACCTCTTCCACAGTCTGGGCCACAGTGAATGGGAGCTATAAACTCAGGGTTACCTGTTCTCCATTCCACAGAAATGTACGGAGGAGGGCGTTAAAGGTACAAACTTCCAGTCATAAAAAAGTAAGTCTTGGGGCGCCTGGCTGGCTCAGTTGGTAGAGCATGTGACTCTCTATCTCAGGGTTGTGAGTTCGAGCCCCACGTTAGGTGCAGAGATTACTTAAAATTTTTTTGAAAAAAATCTTAAAAATCAGTCAGTAAGTCCTGGGGAAGTAATGCACAGCATGGCAGTTAGAATTAACAATACTGTAGTATACGTTTTTTTTTTTTTAAGATTTTATTTATTTATTTGGCAGAGAGAGACACAGCGAGAGAGGGAACACAAGCAGGGGGATTGGGAGAGGGAGAAGCAGGCTTCCCGCGGAGCAGGGAGCCCGATCCCAGGACCCTGGGATCATGACCTGAGCCTAAGGCAGATGCTTAACGACTGAGCCACCCAGGCGCCCGTACTGTATGTTTAAAAGTTGCTAAAAGGGTGAATCTTAAAAGTTCTCATCCCAAGAAAACAAAAGTTTGTAACTATGTGAGGTGATGTTGACTAACCTAGTTGTGATAGTTTTGCAATACATATATTAAATCACTATGTAGTATACCTAAAACTAACGCAATGTTATGTCAATTATATCTCAATAAAACTGGAAAATAATTTAAATTAAAAAAGTTTTTTTTAAGATTTTTTTATTTTTTAGATTTTATTTTTATTTATTTGACAGAGAGAGCACAAGCAGAGGGAGAGAGAGGGAGAAGCAGGCGCCCTGCTGAGCACAGAGCCCTACATGGGGCGTGATCCCAGGACCCTGAGATCATGACCCCAGCCGAAATCAAGAGTCCACCGCTTAACTGACTGAGCCACCAGGCACCCCCAAACAGGAAAAAAAATTTAAAAGAAGAACAACAAATTTCAAGACAACAAGGTATTCTATTCTGGACTTACCGAGGCATATGGAAAAGAACTAGAAATAATGTGTATTTTCAAGATCATAAAATTTAAAAAAGTTAAATTTAAATGATTAATAGTCTAGAACTTTACCTTAGTCAAAATAAACTCATAAACATTTATTTTTTAAAGACTTTATTTATTAGAGAGAGAGAGTATGCATGAAAGAAAAAGAGAGCAGGAGCAGAGGGAGAGGGAGAAGCGGACTTCCCACCAAGCAGGGAGCCCGATGCGGGGCTGGATCCCAGGACTCTGGGATTGAGCCACCCAGGTGCCCCCAAATCATAAAAATTTAAAACTATGTTTTGAGCACCTGCGATGTGAAAACATACACTGTTCCCAAGAAGGGCACCAGGAAACAAAGGTGAGTAAAACCCACCACCAGTGCTGTCAAGGGGGACAGACCTGCATAGACACAGCACAATAACAGGTAATAAAGGCAAAATGAGAAGCAGAACACCTCTGAATGGCCCAGGGCACGCGGAAACAGACTCAGTAACCGAGAGGGGTAAGACAATGTGAACATTATTTCTGAGTTGGGCAGCCTGAGAACGAGGCAAGGCAATGTCCAGGCTGAAGGTCCAGGGAAAGACCCAGAGCTCAGGGCAGCCAACTCCAGGGGCTAATCAGCACACAGGCAGAACTGAGACTCAGTCCCAGTCACCACTGCGTAATAACACCTGCTACAGCCTGGCACCACATCTGTGGGTACTGACGGCCCCATGAGCCAGTCACACCAACCATTTCCAGCAGGATGCTAAAACATGAAAAAATTCCCCCATGAAAGGCAAAGTTGGGCCCAGCGATTCGACTCCTTGGTGTATACCCAAGAGAGTCGAAAACAGGTCCACACTAAAGAACGTGTATGTGGAGGTGCTTGGGTGGCTCAGCCGGTTAAGCATGGAACTTTTGATTTTGGCTCAGGTCGTGATCTCAGCGTTGTCAGATCAAGCCATGTGGGCCCGTACTGGGCGTGACGCCAGCTTGGGATTCTCTCTCCCCCTCCCCCTCTTAAAAAAAAAAAAAAAGCCCCCAAACAACAAAAATGTACATGAATGTTCATGGTATTCATTATAGTTAAAAAGTGGAAACAACCCAAATATCCATCAATTGGTAGGGGGGAAAATGTGGTCTATCCATACAACGGATTACTATTCAGCCATAAAAGGGAAGGAAAGAGGCGGGACACAAAGATCCCTTAGGACGACCCCATCTATGGGAAACATCCAGAACAGGCAGAGCCACCAAGGCAGAAAGGACATCAGCGGTTGCAGGGAGCGGGGGCGGGAAATGTTCTGCGATTCGACAATGGAACAGCACAGTTCTGCCAGTAAACCAAAAACTAGTGGCTCACACACTATTAGAGGGCATTCTACAGCCTATCTCAATAAAGCTGTTACTAACACAGCAAAGCTTGGGTCTGACGGGCTGAGAATGCCTTTCTCCGCTTTAACTCTAAGCCACGACCATTAGGAATCGTAGGCCCCCGACCGGAGGCTCTTCTTTCCGCCTCCGAATTGGTCTTCTGCTAACAAACAAGACCCCGGAGTCCACCCCGCTGCCACGACCTACTCCAAAACCCACGCCGAGCGCCCCCCGGCCACGAGCGACGTGGGGGGCGGAGCCCGACGCCTCCTCCGGGGAGCCGTAGTTACCAGGCAACAGCCGCGGCCCCGCCCCCTCACCTACCCAATCAAGCACGTCCGCACGCAGCGGGCGAGCCCCACGTACGCCCGGCGGAGCGTGACCTCACGCGCACCGGGCCCAGAGAGCCCAGAGCCGGCAGACGCCCGCCCCCACGGCCCCCGCCCAGCCAATCAGAGAGGACAGGGCTGCGCGTCCGTGCGCGCGACCGTTGTCCCCGCGGCGGGGCTTCCCCGCCCCACCCCCACTCCTGGGCCCGGCCCGCGGGGAACGGGGTTCGGGGGCCGCGGGGCGGCGACGGGGGCGCCTCCAGCCGTGCACCCGGACGGCCGGCCTCCCTCCCCAGGCTTCCCCCTCGCCAGCCCCGCGGGCGCAGAAAGTACCAGGAGAAGCGCCCGCTCCTAATGGCGGCCGCGGCGGGGGCGGGGTACGCACCTGAGGTCCCCGCCGGCGGGCAGCGCCGGGCCGGCCTCGGGGTTCGAGGGCTGGGCCGCCGGGGAGCGGCCGGGCGCGAGGGCGGCGGCCCGGGCGGCGAAGAGGCGGGGGCGCGGCGTGGGGGCGGCGGCCGGGGCCCGGCTCTCCACTATCCCTCCTTTTTCTCTTTCTTTCTTTCCCCCCTCTTTTTTTTTTTTTTTTTTTTTTGGCTTCCTGGAAGGCAGCCTCCACTCGTGTGTCCGCAGCGCCCCCAGTGGGAGTTGCCGTTTCCGGTGCTGTCGAATCCAGTGGAACTGCACGCTGGATTAGTTTGCACGCTGGGCCGGGGTCCGCGGCAGGCCAGGAGTGCTTCTCAGTCCCCAGCCTTTGATGAGCGGCTGGCACGTGTCTCCTCGCACCCCGACACACCGCCCCCGGACGCGGACCTCCTTTCATGCAGCTGCTCAATGTGATTTTTGCACGCCTGCAACTTGTGGCTTGAAAGCGGTGAGGTTGCAATTTGAGTGACCTGGGGCTGTGCTTTAAAGCCATCGAGTTATTAGGAACTGAAAAGGCGACCTTTTGGCGGGGTCGGTGACATCGCCAGCGGATCATGAGCTATCCATCAGATGGTGGTGGCACTCCAGCAAACAGTCGAATAGTAAAATACTGTTATTTCATCCCAGTTAAACACTTACATACTTAGGTACGCCAAAAGGAGAATAGAATAAAAACCATTTACCCATTGCTCAGATTTTACCTAGCATGCCCTATTTACTTCATATTTTTAAGAAATAGACACAGTTGAAGTTACCGTTCTCTTTCCTCCCCAGAGGTAATTACTATCTTGAGGTTTTTATGTTCTAATACACATTTTCCATAGTGTGAGAGCAGAAACAGGAGTGGGACCTTGTTCTACCTCAGCGGGGGAGTGTGCATCAGGCAACGTAAGCTTTTTGCCACTCTGCACATGTCCGAGAATGAGCAGGGAAAGCACTGTACTGGTTTTGGGTTTACCTATCAATTTTAGTGGGTAAGTGAATTCACAAACATGAAATTGATGAATAATGAGAATTGGCTCTATTTTGTTGCCAAAAACGATAAGCGCATGAAACTCGTACTTGACCACTTAACCTGGAAACCATTTTCTCATCTTCTCATCTGCTGTAAGAACTTCCATATGAAAAGTTGCAGTGTTTTGAACTGTTTAAAATGTCAAAATACACATGTGATTGGTTTGAAAGAACAACTGACATCAAGACGAGTTGTGTGCACATACCGTCTCTGATTTCTCTCCTTTCATTCTCTCTCGAGCCGGCTCCAGTTAACCCCCACTACTCCACTAAAGCTGTTCTCTCCAAGGTCACAAATGACCTCCACGTTGACAGTCCTTTTTCAGTTTGTGAATTGCTCGATCTGTCAGCACTTGACATAACCATTCACTGCGTCCTCTTTGGGACATTTGTGCTGCCCTGCCTGCTTTTCCGGCTGCTTCTCCGAGGTCTGTTGCAGATGCTTCTTTCCCCCCAACCTTTTGAGTAGGGCTGTAGCTCAGGGCTGTCTTGGATCTCTTTGCTCACTCCTTAGATGACCTTGTCCAATCTCAGGTCCTTAAACACCTTTGGTATGGTTATTATGATTCTCATGTATGTACTCCAGCCCTGCCCACTCACCTCCACCCCAGTCTGCATAACCAGCTGCCTACTTTGATATCTTCATGTGGAAGAAGAAGAGGTATCTTAAGCAAGACTGGTCCCACCATCTCCTCAGATTCTTCTGTTGTTCCTTCCCACCTCAATGAAACACCAGTCTTCCAGTTACTCAGGCCAAAACCTTGGAAGAATCCTTTTGCTTCTCCCATACCTGACACCGATCCTTCAGACAACCTAGTCAGACTGCTCTAATTTCCCAAGATTCTACCACTCTCTGACCACTACGACTACCACCGCACTGGTCCAAACCAATGTCATTTCCTGCAATAGATACAGTCTCCCTGATCCTGTTCTTAACTCCCTTCAGACTATTCTTTTCTTTTCTTTTTTTAAGAAAGAGAGGGAAAGCGTGAGTTGGGGAGGAGCAGAGGGAGAGAGAGAAAATCTTAAGCAGACTCCACACTCAGCATGGAGCCCGATGTGGGCCTCGATCTCATGACACTGAGATCATGACGTGAGCCAAAATCAAGAGGACACTCAACCGACTGAGCCACTCTGCAGACTATTCTTAACACAGCAACGGGAAAAATTCTGTAGCCTGTAACTCATTTTATTCCTCTGCTCAAAACTGTCCTATAACTTTCCATCTCAGAAGAAAAGTAAAGGTCCTGACTTAATGCTTCTGGCCAAGGTGAAGTCACAAGGATTGGATTCACCCTCTCACGTGATACAAATATGCCAACGGCGGGGTGGCTGGCTGGCTGTGTGGGAAGAGCGTGGGACTCTTGATCTTGGAATTGTGAGTTTGAGCCCCATGTTGGGTGTAGAGATTACTTAAAAAAATGAAGTACTTACTGATAAGGAGGGGCTTACTTCTGTCATTACACTGTTTTCTATATGCCTTACAGCTTTCTTGTCCCTCATTTCCTGCATTACAGTCTTCTTTTGTGTTTTGTTGCTTTTTTAGAGTGAGATGTTTAAATTCCTTTCTCATTTCCTTTTGTGTATATTCTATAGCTACCTTCTTTGTGGTTGCCATGAGGATTGCATTTAACATCCTTAAGTTATAACACTGCAATCTGAATTTATACCTGCTTAACTTCAATGACATATGAAAACTCTGCTCTTTTGTAGCTCTCTCCCCACCCTTTTGACTGTCAATGTCACAGAAATTACATCTTTATACATTGGGTGCCCAGATATACAAACTCATAATTCTTTTAAATGCATTACTCTCGGGGCACCTGGCTGGCTCAGTTGGGAGAGCCTGTGACTCTTAATCTCAGGGGTGTGAGTTCAAGCCCCAATTTGGCCACGGAGCCTACTTTAAATAAATAAATAAATAAATAAATAAATCCATTACTCTCTTAAATCATGTAGAAAAGGTACAGAGTTACAAATCAATGTTACAAAAGGCTGTCCCTATTTTTTTTTTAAAGATTTTATTTATTTATTTGACAGAGAGAGACACAGCAAGAGAGGGAACACAAGCAGAGGGAGTGGGAGAGGGAGAAGCAGGCTTGCCTGCGGAGCAGGGAGTCCGATGCGGGGCTTGATCCCAGGACTCTGGGATCATTACCTGAGCCGAAGGCAGATGCTTAACGACTGAGCCACCCAGGTGCCCCAAGGCTGTCCCTATTGAATGGTTACTCCTGCTTTGCAAGAAATGTTTAAATGAATCCTATAAGCTGAAATGAAAAGGTATCAGACTTGAAGCAATATGGAGAAATAAAGATCTCAGAAAAAGTAAATACATGAGCAGTTATAAAAGGTAGCTTTATTGTAACAGTGTTAGGGGTCATGAAAAAGTTTCCTAAATAGAGGTGGTGATGGTTGCCCAACACTGTGAATGCAATTCACTCCACTGAACTGTACACTTAAAAACTGTGAAGATGATACATTTTATGTTATGTGTATTTTATCATAATCAAACATTCTTTTAAAGGCAGGAATTCGCCTCTATATGATGTAGCCATGCCACTCACAAGAATTTACCCATGATAAAAGGAATATATGAGAATACAAAAATGTGTATGCAAATGTTAATAGCAGCTTTATTCATAATATCCGAATGCAGGAAACAAGGCAAATGTCAATCAACAGGTGAATCAAGAAACAAATTGTGGTATTCCATATAACGGAATAGTACTCAGCATTAAAAAGTGAATGAACTGGGGAGACTGACTGGCTCAGTTGGTAGAGCATCTGACTCTTTCTTTTTTTTTTAAAGATTTTATTTATTTATTTGACACACAGAGAGAGATAGCGAGAGAGAGAGAGGGAGAGAGCACAAGCAGGGGGAGCGGCAGGCAGAGGGAGAAGCAGGCTTCCTGCATCAGCAGGGAGCCCGATGTGGGGCTCGATCCCAGGACCCTGGGATCATGACCTGAGCTGAAGGCAGCGGTTTAACCGACTGAGCCACCCAGGTGCCCCTAGAGCATCTGACTCTTGATCTTAGGGTCATGAATTCATGCCCCATTTTGGGCATAGAGTTTACTTAAGAAAATAAATAAATAAAATAAAAATGAGGGGTGCCTGGGTGGCTCAGTCGGTTAGAGCCTGACTCTTGATTTCAGCTCAGGTCATGATCCCAGGGTCGTGAGATCAAGCCTACTTAAGTTTCTCTCTCTCGGGGCAGAGCAAATAGTTTAAAAAACAAAATAGGACACTCATTTAAAAATTATTGTTTACTTAATCTTGTCACATTATTTAAATATCTTTGTATATTTTATAAAGTACATATTAGTATAATAATGAGTGTAAATAATGTATACATATTTTTTCATGCTCACAAATTTTACCCATATGGATGTGTAATCAAAATAATTTGGAGATTATTGCCCTAAAAATTTGGAAGATCCTGTTCTCAGAAAACCGATAGAAGAATTCATCTACAAGCAGGGGGCTGAATTCATTCAAGCAGATAATAATATCAGAGTACACCACATTTATATGATATGAGAAGACTCAAATTGTAAAATGTCATTTATTAATTTATCTCAATTAGGTCATCAATTTCATGCAGTTCCAATAAAAATCCCAGTGGGATCTTTCATTCAATCGACAAGATGACTTTAAAATTTATATGGAAGTAAATGTTATGAGTAGCAAAGGCAATTTGTAAAAGAACAAAGAAGACCTGATTGAATAAAAATCAGAGCATGATATAAAGCTGTAGCAGTTAGCTCAAGAATAGATCAGAAGGAACAGACTCCAGAATTGACCCATATACAGAAATGCATCATGTTATAGATGACATTTTAAAATCTTCAAAGTCTGTTATAGCCAGTTAATTATTTGGGGACAATCATATATCTTATAAAATACTAATAAATATGCAATCATACCACTCATAAAAATCAACTCCATATCCAAATATAAAAAATAAAAGTGCAGTATTAGATTTAGTGTTTTAC